ATTTAAATTGCTACTGCTACACTACTATTTTTTTAAAAAAATAACACCACTACTATATTGCTACTATAATGCTACTACATTGCTACTACATTATTAAAAAATGATCACTTTCAGTAAAGCTATTGATTTTAGCTTATTTTAAAATTAAAATATATTTTTTAAAGCTATTCTGACAGTAAGATTAATTGCTACTTTCCGATCTATAGTTATAGTAATAAATTTCAAAATAAAGAGTTAATATTAGGTGCAAATGGTAAAAAATTAATATTGCTATAGAATTGTTTTAATGATGAAGATAATTGTCACTTTCTAACCTTTGGTTCTAGTAATAAATTTAAATAAAAGATTAATGCTAGATACAAATGGTAAAAGATTGACTTTATTTTGATATAATTTGAGTTTAATATAGTTTAAAACCAACATTTCTTCACTTGCTATATATTAAGCTATACTTGAAAAGCAAGTATACTATACATGTATTTGTATTCTAATAGAAATATTTCAATATAGTATTGTATTGATATTTATGGATACAATAAAAAATATTAAAAAACAATATTAACTGGAAATTATAATTAAATAGCAATTATAATAAAATTAGAAATTATAGTAAAATTAGAAATTATAATAAAATTAGAAACCATAATTAAATTAGAAATCATAATTAAATTAAAAATTATAATTAAATTAGAAATTGTAAATAAAATTATAAATTATAAATATATAAAACTAGTATTACATAAAAAAACTCTTTCCCATACACAACATTTTTCTTAAAAATTTCCTTTTATAGTAATTTTTTCAAAATTAAAAAAATAGTTTTTTTTATCACCTTTAACTATCCAAAAATCCTTTACATTTCTATTGCCTTCACTACAAGAACCTCAAGGAACCTAGGAAAGTACACTGGTGCATCGGGATGGGATCTCTGGCTAGGGAAAAGCAAGCTTGGGGATCTTGCTATTTTCTTGGATTGCATGAGGAAAGGCTCATGGCAGTTACCTTTCTATAAATTTTCCTTGGGGTTCTTTCCATTTATACTTCTTATCAAAAAATAATTCTTATTAAGTAACCTTTTTTTGTTCTTGGAGAGCTATTCTTTTTTTCAAAAAACCAAATCTTACACCGATATTGTTTATATTGTTGATTTGGAGCACCAGCAGTATATATAATACTCACTTTTTACTATCGCTTAGCACAATATGCTGCGCCACAAAAATTCAAAAATTTCTACTCAAAAAATTCCTCACCAAAAAACCATAATCAGTTTACTTCTGTCAATGGATCATTATCTCAAAACCAATCAATCAAATACTACCAAATATCAAAACAAACTTATACAACCTAAACACCTCATAATGATCAATATAAAAAAAACCAGTTTTGGTAACTACAACCAAAACAAAATCATACCATCAACTCATGAACCAATCAACTTACCAACCACTTACCATATCAATACAATAATAACAACAACTATAATGACAAGCCAAATCTTATATACTTCATTATCTGTGTTAACGAAGATTATATTTACAAGTTGCAAAGAACCGGAGAGACAGGACAATGAGCCTGGCCAGAGGTTCTCTTGAAAATACAATTTTTTTTCTTATAGATTTTATAGTTTATGTAATTTCATTTTAGTTTTAGTTACTTTTATTTTTTTTCCTCTCAAATTTTTTTTCCTATCAAATTCTTTTTACGTCTCAAACAATTTTTTTTTTAAGTAGATAAGCATAGCTACTACTTGGCCTATATTTAATAACAATATTGTTTTAAAATGTCTTTTTCAGTATTAGCTATTTATAGTTTTAGTAGGTAGGCTAGCATTAAACTTGCTGTATGCTTCACACTTAAGAGATGTTGATTCTTTTGTAATATATACCTTTCAATATATGAATAAATAAAGAATTGGTGTTTATCTACTTTAAAAAAAAACAAAAAAAACAAACAAATAATATCCATTATATTCTATTATTCATAGCTGCTCTTAAAAAACTCTCTCCTGATCGCATCCATTTTGTTAAAAATTTTCCTTTTATGGTAATTTTAAGCAAGAAAAAATATTTTACACTCTTTATCACAAGTGAGCCCTAGCTCAGGAACTCAAAAACCTTCAAGACAACTGGTGCAGTGGAATGGGACCTCTGGTCGAAATCTATTCAAGTTTGGGAGTCTTGCTTATTTTTTGGTTGCATGAGGAAAAGTCTGTAGCAGTTCTTTTTTCTTCAGTTTTCTTGCACCCACCTTACCCTTTTTATATTATAAAACTATCCATATTATCACCATTATACTTGCCAAATCAAATACTTTTCAAAACATATTTACAAACAGAGTTAGTGGATCTATTGTTTGTTTTAAGTCAATTCACACACACAATATTTTTGTAGCAATATTTTCTGTGCCATTTTCAATTCCCAAAAAATTTTCATCCAAAAAACCAAAATCAGTTTACCTCCTCAAGATGATCAGCGCTCTTCAATCATCCAATCAGATTTCGCTTAAAGATCAAAACAAAACTCAAACAAGCTTAAACTGATTTTGTATCACAATAACGATCACAATAACAACAACAACTAACACACTATCAACAACTATAACAACAAACAACATCACGTATACTCTATTATTTATAGTAACTAACGAGCCAGAGAGATGGAACAACAAGCCTGTCCGGGAGCTTCTGAGAGGAAATAATAGTTTTCTACCTATATATTATAGTTTACTTAATGTAGTTCTAGCTATAGTTACTTTATTTTTTTTTTCAATTTTTTACATTTAAAAAATCAAAAGAATTCACAAAATTTTCTGAGTAGATAGGCATAGCTGCTATTCAGGTATAGCTTAGTATAGAGTATTGTTTTGAATTTTCTTTTCAATATTAGCTAGATGTGTTTGCGTAGGCAGGCTAGTATTTAACTTGCTACATATGTATGTAAAAGATATTGTTTCTTTCACGATGTATATCATGTTATATACAATATCAAATAAAAAAATAATGCATACCTATGAGAGGAAACTCAAAAAAAAAAAAAAAGTAAGTATAGCTGCTCTTATCTATATTTAATATATAAAATATTGTTTTAAATTCTTTTCAATATTAGTTAAATATAGATATATAGACAAGTCTAATATTTAACTTGTTATATGCATGGCATCCAAGAGATATTATTTTTTTTATCATTTATATAACTTTATAGTATAATACAATAAATAAAAAATAAAATAATTTTTTTAAAAATTTTATATATTTTTCTATTCATAATTTATATATAAATTTATTTATAGGTATAAACTTATAAAAAATTTTAAGCAAACTTTTTTTAGTTTTAAAATTCAATGCTAAGATAAATTTATTAATAAAGTATTAAAAAAAAACTTGATGTTTTATTTTTTACATTCTGAAAATATATTTTTAAAGTTTTATCTCATAAATAAATAAATATTTGTTCAAAGATGTTTTAAAAAATCTGCGCATATATTTATTTCGTCAAGATTTTATTATATACTGTATATTTATTTTATCAAAATTTTTTTATATACAGTGTATACGTATATTTATTTAATTAAAAAAATAAAGTTAAATACGTATTTATAAAAATTTTGTTAATTGGAGATTTTATATTTAAGTAAAATAAATAGGCCAACAATATTATAAACAAAAATTATATACTGTATTTATACTTAATTAAATAAAAAATATAAAAATATATTTACGAATTTAATTTTTTTCTGATTGATTATTTTTTTTGAACTAAAAAATTTTTTTCACCAGATTTTTCTATTCATTAATAATATAAGTTCACAATATTATTAGAAAAAAAACCCATAATAAAATTTTATTCAATATTCTAAATAAACTTCTTAATTTACGTATAGCCGGGCATGTCTAAGTGATAGGACAAGTTAACTTAAATGCGTCTTAATGTGCACGTAATTGATTAACGATAAAAATACAGTGCATTTAACACCTTTCAACTAAAAAAAAACACGCTTAATTTATATATTATCACAGTAAAAAGATGATATCGATAATTATTTTTAGAAATCAATTATTTAGATCTAGATTATTAATAAAAAAGTTTAGATCTTATTTATAAAAAGCTTTGTGTTCCAGTATACAGTATAAGCTTTAATGCAATTATGATTTTTTAAAGATTATGCTATACAACTTTTACTAGTTAACGGATATAATATAGATTACGTGAAACCGTGCTACGGAAAAGTACTTTTCTGATGAAAAAGAAGCAACAGCGAGTTCCGGTTAAACTACTAGCATTCCCTCCACGGGATTATTGGTCATGTAATTAATCGGCGCAGTAAATAGACTCGTGTATTGAAAAGTACCAAAAAAAAAATTTTTTTTTTCTTATTTCAGTATTTATTATTAAAATATTAATTAATAATTCAAAGTTTATATGTACATAGAACAATGCATGAATAAAATACGATAAATGATATATTATACGATGAATCTTACTATCACGAATGCACGTGGACTTTATGACGAAAGTGTTAATCTTGATCTTTAATTTCATGAAACCCAAGGTAATGCAGGGTGGATTTCTTTAGAGGATAGGTCCATTGTTTGGCTCCAGGAGAAACGTCGGAAGGATTATCCTTTGATTTCCATTGAACGATGGCCGATGGTTCAAGACTATATGATTTGATATTTCCTTGTTTAATCTTATTAACTATTTCCAAATCAACTGGTAACGATGGATTAAGAAGTTCATTTAATAACTTTTTAGCGCCGGAGAGAGAAACTGCGTAAGCATGTGTGCAAACTGGATATGTGGATTCATACAGTTGAAAACTCCCGGCATCACCTATAAATTTGCCGCCTCTTTCCCAAGAGCAATGTCCAATATATAACATTTCCCAATCTGTGGGTAGAATGCGGTGAACGTCAGTCATAATCGATAATATGTTCATCTCAACATCAACATCATCTTCCAGAATCAAGCTGCTATTGTATCCGTTACGGACAATCGATTCGTAGACTCTATAATGACTAACGTAGCATGATTTATGGTTGGGTGCAATATCGAAATCATATTTATCGAGAATCTCGCTGTCATTAGTGCTAACGGCCGGAAAAAATTCGAAATTCAATTCAAGGACATCCTCTATGCCCCCCATCTTGAAATGTCTGTCTCGTCGATGAGCAAGATTAATAACATAAATGTTTTCGAAGCCAAGGGTTTTGTTATAATTTTTTGGAGCTGTGTTTGAAATCGTGTTCGAAGAATTAGAGCCATGTTCGTTTGAAGTCGTGTTCGAAGAATTAGAGCCATGTTCGTTTGAAGTCGTGTTCGAAGAACTAGATCTATGTTCGTTCGAATATGATAATAATAATCCGGGCACAGTTTGAAACAAAAAACTTATATAAAGCGACGTTAATAGTATCAATAAGAGGCCAGAAAGTACTAGTGTTCTTCGATTCATGACGTATATTATTATAGTTATCAGAAAGTCGGGAAAAACTATGACCAGGAAAAATCAGTGTATATTACAATTTTTCGTTGCGCGGAAAGGATGTTTTTATTCTTGCAAGAATGCTTTTAGTTCTTGATAGAAATTATTGAAAAGTAAGGACTACGCACCAAATTATACGATTATTTTATATCAACTGAAAGTGTAAAATAATATTACAATATCAGCGTTTCCAATTAAAATTTCTTTCATATGCCGGACATATATTCTAATAGAAACTCGCAAATCTTTCTTTTTCTCGCAAAAAAAGGTTAGCGTGATTATAACAGGTGAAATTATGACTCCTCGGGAAGCGATCTCCGCGTAACGTGATCGACGATTTGGTTTCGTGAAGACATAAGTATTAACTGTTAAAACGTGGTCGAGCAAGAGATGGGTTAAATGATGCGCGTAAAGTAGAAAGAATTAGATTTAGATATTTGAAAGATCACGCATAAAAGAAAACAAATAATCAAATAAATAAAGGAATCGATGTTTTTCTTTGTTGCAAGTAAAAAAATGAATTTTAATAGGACCTGACGGTATACTGTATTCGCTGTTTAACAAGTAACGGCACAGGAGATTAGATATGTCAACCGGAATTGTTGATTTAATGCATAAGTGATTTTTTATCGGTCTAGTTCGGATTTAATTTGTCTTTGTTCATTATCTCGAGTGTATTTTTTTTGCATACTTTACATGTGTGCTATGTCAAAATTATTTAGATAAAATTTATCATTATTATTATCACGAGAAAAAATAAGTCTCTGGAATTAAATGCATAATCCAAAGTAGACTAAACATTAATACAGAACTAATCAGTGGCAGCGATTGTTAAAATGATCTCAAATCGAGTAAGTGAAATGAACAGGTTTGTAGTTCGGAAAAAAAAAAAAAAAAAACAATAAAAATTCAAGGAGTTATATTCCAGAAAAACTTTGATCGGTAAACTTTGTTTTGTGTATTGTTTATGCACGTATGTAAAATATAATTTTTGTTTCATCTTCATTCGTTTCATTATGCAACTGCGATGTACATACAGTATACCTACGATCAATTTTTATCTAAAACCAATAGTTCATAAATGGAATTTTATGTTGCTGTATCATATCATGCCGAAATTTCTACTAACATTTTTATTACTTTCAAAAAGAATGATACACACATTTCCCTAGCAAAAATCATCAGGCGTTGCAATTTATATGGTTTTTGGAAAATTTTTTCTTCTTTCTAAATGACAAAAACGGATAGGTAATTTTATTACATACTTGTATGTTGATCTTATGCAACTAAAAAGGTCACTTTACTATGCTTGTTTAGGTTGGAAAAATATTTTTTATCATAAATTTGGGTTTCAAATGTATTCGATGTATTATTATGCCCCATATCTAATAAAGTTTTTTGAAAAAAGATGATTTCTATACTTTATATTGATGATTATGTTTTTTTTTTTTTTCATTTTTTTGGTAATATACAATACAATAATCCAGTTCAAATAAATTGAAAAAGTTAAATATGAATTTTTATTTAAAATGCAGTACTAATTAACAAATAATATAAATATAAATATACCGTATATATTTTCAAGATATAAAGTATAAAGTTGTATTTAAAAAAGAATAGTAACCTAAAATATCTAATTTCATATTAATTTCAAGAGAAAAATAATAATCAACAGTGTAATATACATCTCTCTTTGCCAGGAAGAGTTAAATGCCAGGCTCAATAAGGGCCCTTCCGCCTAAGTTCCTTAGCATCACTCAAGAATATAAGAAAAAGAAATTCAAAACTATATTATGCCTTGAATAGTGTCTAGCTACCTAGAAAAATTTGAAACCTAATCATATGAAGGCACTGCAGCCACTATATACAGGTTGGCCTCCAAGTCATAACTAGGATTGGCAAGCTTGCTTTCCAAATGTGACTTGATATATAGCAAGCCGAATGTGTTCCACCTTACATTTCACCTGAATAACTTGTTCAATTAGTTAAGTGATCGCTACTCTGGTTAGAACATCCGGTAGAGATTAGCCTTTTATCTGATCACCTAGTATTTGACCTTTTCTACTCTTCTAGGATTGCGGCAGGTTACAGGTTACCCAGGCCTGTGGCACCTGCGGCAAGTAGGAAAGGGGACAGCTGTTCTTTACCAGAAGCTTCACACACATAGCCACATCATTTAAGTAATTGAGAAGAATCCAGCACAAGTATAAGGCAGAGGGAGATGGAAAAGGAGTGTTTGGACATATAGTAATGGTTGTTAATAATCGTTGTCGATTTGGATGGATGTTATGGAGTTGAAGTTTCTTATAGATGTTGTTACCTAATCTTGTACAATGAGCCTACATTGTCGGAGGGGTGGGTGAGAAACTTTCGTTGTCGTCACCAGCTCGTGTTGCAAGGGTAACTAGAATCCCTGGTCTTCATGTATTATCCTACTAGGTTTCTCTAATCACCAGCATGACACCTGCAAACTAACCAGGCTTATTGTTAGTTGCATTGGCATTGGCTACCATATCCCTCTGGATACAATGGGGCACAACTCTTTGGATACTTTCGCATAATAATAGTTGTACACCGGTTTCTTAGATGTATCTAGTTTAGCTATCAACAAGTAAACAACACCGGATTTGGTAA